CCATTGCGATTGCAAAATCTCTGATATACTGTAAAGACAGCTACCTTTTAGCTGTATTCAAATTGTGATGTTATTTTAAAAATGAATAATTTATGAAAGATTATAAAATTAAAATGCTTCCCACAAATCCCTTAACAATTTTATGCAAATATCTTAACTGCACATCCCTTGTTTTTCATCTTCTGTTAACCCCTTTCCAACACAATAAAGGGCTTTCTCCACATGGGATAGTGTTTTACCTAAGACATCAATAGCTCTGTTAAATTACAGACTGGGGCATTTCTATCACCAGTGATAATTAAGTAGCAAAAGAGTAGAAATACATTGATTAAAATATCCCTCCTGGAATCTTAATTAAAATATCATATATTTAACATGATATTTTATGTAATATAGATAACAAAATATAATATAAATGATATATAAAATAAATACGCAAACCTATTTGTGTACCACATGGGTACACTGCAAATGCTGGGCTGGCTCTGCACTCATTGGTCTAGTATTTCCACATAAATCAGAGCTGTCCAGAGTTTAATCACATCTATAGCAGCTGCCAATGTTCCCAAAGGTCTCGGCTTGGTGGTTTTGTAAGGAAGCCCCAAGGAGACACTGCACAACCTCCAGGGAGAGCCTTGATGCTGAGCAGATCCCTCCATGACCAATTAGAGCGGCCGGAGTCACCTTGCGCTGCTGGCACGGTGCAGAGAGGCTGCAGTGCAGCTGGGGACGAGGGCCAAAACATTGTCAGCTCTGATCCTGCTCTGCTAGGGAAAGCAGAGAGTTGCTTTCACAGCTCATTGCAAAAGCACCACACCCTTAACCTGCTCATAAAACAAAACCCTTCCCCATGGCAAGAGCAGCAAATCAAAGCACTCTCACTTCAGTGCCAAGGAGGTCTCCTACCCAGCAAAGCAGGAGCAGAAAGCAATACGGTTATGGCTGTTATGGCTGTTTTTCTAAAAGAAACCTCAGAAAATAATGTGTGTTGGAGGCATAACATATGGAAAAGGTATTTAGAAAGCTCTTTATTTTAGGAAACATTTTAAGGCATATGCTGCCTGCAAAGTTCTACATTTATTAAATATGTATGACATTACACAGTACAGCATTTCCCCTGCCTACCGTACAGTGACAATCACGTATAAAATGCTGACTAACCAGCAGCAGCTGTGGCAGAACTTGCTGGAGTTGCAATCCAACCTTCTCAGAAGTTTGAACTACAAGCTGAGAAAGCTGAAATATTAAGGAAAGAGTAGATGGAAGCAATGAATAAAAACTGGCAACTGAGTAAACAGTGCTTTCAGAAATCAAAGATTCACAATCTTATGCCACAGCCACTTGTAACCTCCAGGACCTTATGAGAATTTCATAAAAATGTGGAAGTAACCAAGCAGACTAAAGAGAGCGGCTGTTTAAACAATGCAAACACTTCACATGGATTAAAATGAAATAGCTGAGAACTATTTTATGTAGAATCTCTTTATATGAACCTCTGTGTATGTAACCAAAGATGTATGCATGTATTTATAAATCTATTTTTAAGTTAAAGCCTTTTTGGTAAGGTCAAAACTTGATCTGAAGCAAAGTTATTTGCATGATGGAGTGTAGACCACTGTATTCCATATTTCCTATATGTTGGTATATGCATGGCACAACTCTCTTTGGCTTAAAGTGCTTGAGATTTGCATGAGCTAATCAGCAATAATCAAAAAGTCGTATGAATGTCTATTATGATATTAAGTAAATCAATTTGCTGAGATTTTCTTTGAATGATATTCTTAAGCTGTGTTGAACAGCAATGCTTCTCAAACCTTTCCATGACAGGTACACATCGCAATATCAACACAGTTCTACAGAGCACAAGTCTTCTGAAAGGCCAGAACTATTGTTTGCCAAACATGCTGATTAGTCCTGTACCAGTTTCACAACTGAAAGGCCTTTCCTTGTCTCTGATTTTATATGTTCTTTGCACCACATCATGGTCTGAGTTATATTAAAAATAATCCGGAGCTTGCTTTAAGGAGGCAAAATTCTTTAAAACAAAAATTCATCTCTTTAACACACTATATGTTGCTGACATTTTTCTATACATAATTAATAATCATTTTTGTCGTATACTGATGGTGACAAGAGGCAAAGTCAAGAGCAGAAAATATCAGAAGTGGATGAATTCAAGAAGCTTAATAGCTTCTTGACTATGGACTATGTAATTCAGGACTAGGTAATTCAATTGCAGTTTATATATTTGCCCTGAGAACAAAGCAAACACTGAAAGGCAGACAAGTTTTTGCGCTTCCACATTTATTTTTGAGAGAGTTTCCTGTCTTGAATGGAAATGGACAATATTCCTATACCTAGGATCATATGTTACTGTGGACAGTTTTTGCCTTGAACTTGTCTCATGGCAAATCCAAATGAATTTGGGTGCAAAAGGGATTGCAGAAAAGGTATGCTTCAGTTAGTTAATATTGATGTAGCTCAATTCAGGGGCCATAAATTATGACTGAGTGATGGTACTAATGACAGGATTTTTTTCCTTATTGATTTATTCAGAGAGACAACAAACGGCAGCGTCTGTCATCTTCAGAAATATAATTGTAAGGGCATATCTGCAAAACAGTGCAGAAGCAGGCATAGTGAATCCACTAAGTGCTATGCCTTGTAGACCCCAGCTCACTCTGTCCATCTATACAGCAATTAGACTTCACAGCCTGAACTTCAGTTGACTTCTCCTAGAAAAGGTCCTGGTGCAGTTTGTACTAAACCAACAATCATTCCCACGCATGCCAATTTGCAGCACACAGAGAAAAGAATGTTCTAGGAACCACTAATTAAAGGCCAAGGGGCATCACCAGTGCCTGTCAGCATATGTTCAACCCATGTACTGTGGGCACTCTTGGGATAGAACAGCACGCACACTTGTTTGAAAACTGTTTCTTTTCTTGCAAGAACATTCATGAAACACATGGAAAAAATGTTTTGATTTTATATAAATCAAATAATGATTAGTGATGAAATATGTAACATAAGCTTATTTTCCTCCATGTTCTCTCTTTCCTAAGCTTACAAATGAAAACACTGCCTAGCTGCCTTGGGTGATACCAGTGACAGGAAGGTAACCAAAGCAATAGCCAAGTTCCTTGGAGCTGACCAAGTGATTTATAAATGCACTTTATTCTCATTGGAAAAGCATATAATTAAAAACACATAAAATACCCTTGCAAAAGAAAGAGTTCCACATGTCTTAACACTAATTCCATTGCAAAGTCCATCGTAACTACCGTGACAATTCTATACCTTAGGTTTGCACTTGTTGCAGAATGGGGTCTAACAAAAAAAGATGGCAGAGTCTAAAGGCAAGTTAATACACAGCAGGCTGCTCGTTTTTGAAAAAGGCACTAAGGATAATAGCTAATGTGGCTGTTTTTCTCTTCTGAACTATCTGGTACCCCTTCTCTGTGAGCATTCATGTTGGAATTTAGAAACAACATCAATTTCATTGTAGAATATTTTTAACATTATGAAATTCCAAAGAAAAACTGTGAATCAAGAAGCTAACATTTCTTGCTGAATAGAAAGATTTCTTTACCCCATTTTTGGAAGTTGAAAGATGCAACACTCCCCTAAGGGTCTGCCAGCTTCCCAGTTCTAAGACTAATTTTCCTCAGAGGTAAAACAACATAGTGCTATCCAGCTGTGCCCCTACATCTGCAAGCAAGTTAACAGCTAGTTAAAGACAAAACAAAATTCAAGGAAACTCTACATGTTTCATTTACCAATAATAAACAACGGCAACAACATCACGGATTAGTCATTTTTTTATCTCAATCACTTCATATTACTTCTTTCCTTTACACTGATCATATTTGGCTGATGTGTCAGAAACAGCAGCTTCCATTCTGCATCCTTACCTATCACCCACTTTAGCACATTAGATTATAGCAACAATGACCAAGCAAACACTTGGAAATTTTACAGCTGATATTTTTCCATTAAATATTTATAATGAATAGGAGTGAAAGCATACAAACTGTCAGGAATTCATGCCATCAAGGAATGAACACGGATTCTTAGATTACTACCAAAAATGGCCAGTAAGTGTATCATAGATCATAGATTATCACCCCATTATTTCTTTATGGACCTCTAAGTCAAGTCTAGTTTATGCTAAAATGAAATCTCCAAAAAGCATTCAGCATTAACATGAAGACAGAGAAAAGCTCCCTTCCCTGGGAGATGTTTGTCATTGCCAGTCCCATGGATGTCTTTCAGGGATGCTTTTGCAAAGGAAAAGGTACTCGAGGTTTACCTGGGACTGCCATCAAATTAAAAGATAACCTTCCCGAATGCAGCTTCACCTTTTTGACACCTGGCTGGAGACCTCCTGGGCATCTTGTCACCAACTATGAAATCCATTGCATGATCACAGTAATGCAAATTATGCATATCATGCTGGAATCAAACCTACCTCACAGGTTTTTAACTTTAAAAATGGCAGAGAGATTGGCAAATACAAGAAAAAGACATTTCTGATTATTAGGACAATTGACCACCCTAAAGACAACAGATTACAGCAAGAATCTCGTCTAACATCCAGACACACTCAATTTTGTCACATTCCCAGAAAGTAGCAATACTTTTTGCAATCCCAAAGAAAAATCAAAAGGGGATGGATAAACCAGCAGATGATTTTGCAGATTTCCGTAAGTAGTAAGGTAGACTTGATAATTATGAATTGCTGTAACATAAACTATGTAGGAGTTCAAGAGTTGGAGTACGAAAAATTAAGTGAACTTAAGAAAAAATTTTTTCACAGTGAGGGTGACACAGCCCTGGAACAGGCTGCCCAGAGAGGTTGTGGAGTCTCCCTCTCTCGAGATCTTCAAAACCCGCTTCGGCGCAATCCTGTGCCATGTGCTCTAGGTGACCCTGCAGGGTGGTTGGACTGGATGATCTCTAAAGATCCCTTCCAACCTTAATGATTCTATGATTTCCAGGTTCCTGAACACTTCATCTGTTATGAAGAGCCAGAAATGGTATGCTGCTCCTCCTGAACTAGTGCTCAATCAAATACAGGGCTCTGAAGATGATGCTGCTGGTCATGGCCTCCAGCAGTGTGAATATGTTCATCGTGAGCAGGAAATATGTGGTCATAAGATTTCAAGTCTTCAGATAGGAATCCAAACAGTTGCCAAACCCAGCAAGAGGGTCTTGTATGCATGTGGTACTAATGCTAGTCAAAGGATAATATAGGATCCCTAATCAGCCATGTTAATGGCATCATAATCTTGGTCACGGGAGCCACCTGCCCTCTGCCTTTATCTTCAAGGAGCCTTTGGCTCATTCTCTCATCCCTCCTCTTGCAGCACTACTTTGAGCAGTTCTGGAAGGGATCCTGCAACTTGCGCCCTGACTTTGCAACACAATACTCATCACTCAAGGATTCCTCCTGCAGTATAGACTTGCTCGGGTATAAGTATAAGGTGAGCTCAGACAGCGGGAATGCTGAGGGAAGCAGTCAGCACGGAGCAGCCTCCCTGCAGTGTTCTTCTGGGGAATACCGAAGAGCAACACGGACACGTACGTTACGTCTGCGCTTAAAGCCTGCTGCATCCCAGCACTGAGCAGAAATGGGCTCGATGGATTAAGTGGCGATTAATTAATTTTGAAGCTATCAGTCAGTGTCACTACAGTGTAAAATACAAAGGACTGTTTCTAACTAAAGGTAAAACAATTTAGTAAGTGCTAACAAATTTCTCATTCAAAAGAAGAGTCTGGATCTAGAGTCTATACCTCATTTATGGGGGTAGGGGGAGGAGGGAGCGGGAAAAGAGAGAGAGAGAAAAGAAAAGAAATTTAAAAAGACAAATAAAGCTAGCATGGAATTCATATTTTCACTGCAAACCCATTTCCACTTGGGCACTAAGCTGGGTTAGGAATCCCTCAAGGTGACAGCTGCTGAGCAAGGGCCCATGTCACCAGCCTCCCCGTGAAGTTAAGTGGAGCTCAGGTACCCCGGCACGCTCCCCTTCACCTCTGGAAGGCAGGATTCGCCAGATGAGAGCAGATGAGCCGATTTTGCATAATTTACAACAGAAATGTGTTTTAAAACACGTTATTAAGTATTCACACATTCCCTCTGCTTCCAGCCACGTCCCTGCAGAGCCGCTGCCGCCTTTCCCCGTAGTGTGGGGACACTTAGCGGCAAAAGCAAAGCAGCACAGGGAAGAAATTCCCCCAAGCAAGGACAGGGGCTCTGCTGCAGGCCTGGACAAAAAAGAGCCTAAACCTCGTATTGGAGTGTTGCATCCTGGCTCTCCATTCTGGGATTAAGGTCTCATTTAAAAATATTTAGAGTCAGTACTTGAAATAAACTATATCATTATATATATATATATATATATATATATACACACACACACACACTTACATAAAACTGTGAAGGAACTGAACTTGTTACAATTATTTCTACTTTTTTGAATCAAAAACATCCATATAAGGTTTTAGTTTTACATTTAAAAATTTGCAATTCATTTTGCATTCTATTTTTGGGTTTGATATTATAAAGTTTTCTTTAATAACTACTGTAATGCAGAAAGAGGGGAAAGTTTAACTGAAAATAATACACAGACTACTTACTTGGTGGACCCAAAGAGAACATCTTATTACTTTCTCCTCTCTGTAGGAATTAAAGGAATAAATTTGGGAGGGGGGCATTTTTTAAGAAAAAAATGTGCTTAGGAGACTTATTTTAACATTTCTGTTCTCATTGTTCTTTTTTCCATTGGACAAACATTACTCCCCAGAATGGTGGAGTCCAAATGCTTCTTCAATTATTTTCTCTCCTACATTCTTCATCTGGTCAGGGCAGTAGGCAAACAACAAGGAAATAACCACAGTTCCACAACTCTGTGAGCCAGCCTACAACCCCCCAGCAACATGTGTTTTTCATAGGGCCCTACAATTCACCTGGATTAATGAATCCAAATTTTGCCCCTCTTCTGATGTGGGAGCAGCAGAAGTGTTTGGAGGGGAAGGCAGCTCTTTGTGCTTTATTCCAGCTGAGAGCTTTCCATCAACAGAACAATTCTCTGCTGATTAATTACAGCCAGCATCTGGCTCCTTTACATCACCTGAGCAGGAAAAGATGTCAGATTAGCATGGAGATATCTGTCCTTTCATGTCGCAGTTAGTGAAACCGCTAGTACAGGATGTAGTAGATAATTGCTACATGCTATTTATGTAATTCTTTGAATAAATTAATGGTATGAATCACAACATTAATTTAAGTGCCACTAGAAATAATTGATGAAAATGCATAGAGGTTAATACAAGACAAAAAGACAGGGTTTCTAACTTTACTTGATTTTTTTCTATTAAAATTTGGATATTTTTCTATAATAACTGTACTTGGTTTGGATAATTTAATTTGGATATTTTTCTGTAACAATTGTACTTAAAATAAAAAACTATTCATATCCACCTTGTTATTAAAGTTATTCTTTCAAAAAATGATTTTTAAAATGTTCTAGCCAAAATGTATATTTTCTATAGATACTTAGAATTACCCAGTGCAAACATTCAGCTGACATTTTTGGATAACCAGCCAGAATAGCCATAGATCTCTTCTGAGTGACAGTAGCCAGCTTAGAGACCACTGCATAGAAGCAGATTTGGTTTTCCTCTACATATGACTTGGCACTTTTTTCTCTTTTTTTGACAGTTTATTATTACATTGTTGCATCATTCCATGCCAAAAGATCCTTCTCCAACTCTCTACAGTCAATTTAAAACTTTTAACTATTTGAGATAGCTCATCAGCAAAATATACTTATGGCATCTCTTATTTGCCTCAATAATTTATGAATCAAATGCACAGAATTATATAGAACAGCACAGGCCCTTGGACAGATCCATGTGGGATTTCCTCAGTAACTTCATTATGAACATTTATTTCTTATCTCTCTAAAAAAATACTTAAATTATTTCTCTGATGATTGTTAGGAGGAAGATTTTTTGAATGATCCTTTAAATATACGTAGTTTTGGAAAAAGCAGAATACATATGTTTTTCTCTGGTGACTTGGTAGAGGGGGGAAAAGGAACCTTAACAGGAGTGCTTAACTACAATCCCGTTCAACCCATGCCTCACTTTCAGTAACCACATATTCAGTAAAATGTTAAAAATTTACTGAATTAAAACTCAGCATAAACTCATTTAAAATAAGATATGCAAAATCTTATTGTATCTCTCAAATTCTACATATTTACTAGCATTACAGCTTTATAGATGGATCTCTAGACAGCCATTATATTTTGTGAGCTGTTTGTACTGTAGCTTTTGATATTCTTAAAGGATTGACGGCATCCATTTCCTTTCAAATAAGGTCATTTTCAATTTAGCAGCATTCAGCAACCTGAAAATCTGAGTCTGCAAGGCACTCTTAAAAGTATCACTTTCAGACGGCGGATGTTTTCCAGGTGGTTTTGCAGAAAACCATGAAATGCAGCTGCCACAAAACCTTTGATGAGACATAAGTAGAACAACATCAAAAGTGTGCTTCTTTTTGAGAAAATACATGAAAGTGCAAAACTAGCTGACAGTGCCACATCATGGAATTCATTTTAACTTGCAGACGGATGCCAAGAGAAGGCAGACTTCTGTGGCCATTGCTTGGAGCATGGCCTATACAGTGTAAAACACTGAAATACATTTTTAATGTTATCATTTCATATTTGGACAAAAAGCAGGATTTAAGCTTTTTAAACAGCAACATATCTGTGTGGGTATATATGCACACATACATGTGTTGGATATCATACACAACACAAGATCCTGACCTCTAGAATCCCATTTCACTGCAAACAGCAACCTGCATAACCTTGTCCATGACAGCTATAATTATAGTTTTTAGGTACGTTCAAAGTGTTTTCTGCAGTGCCTGGGTTGCTAGACAGAGTTCTAAAACACCACGGCTGCTCCCTCCCGACCTCCTCATCAGCACCTCAGCAGGATCGGTACGAGCACCAGCGCTCAGCAAGCCGAGACACGCACGGGATTCCTGCACTCAGTCACCCAGTTTGTCAAAAAAAAAAAAAAAAAGAAAAAAAAAAAGAAAGAAAAAAAACCCACAACAGTTCAGTCTAAGTATTTCATCAAACACAATATATTAAGTAAAACTCTGGCTACTATATTAACAATTAGTTCTGTAGAGATAAATCATTGATTCTGACTTTGTTATTATATGAGCAAGTTTCTAGCATATATTTCTTTGCATCCTTTATAGTTTTGTTATAAAGAGCGGAAGGTTAGCCCATAAAGGAGCCTTACTGAACTCCCAACATATGTTTGGGGCCAGTAGACTTGTCTTGGTTATGTGAAAAGATGGGTTAGATAATCCTGCATAGAACTAAGAGTCTTCTAAAAGTCTGTTGTTTAAGAAATTATAATATGGAAATTATCATTGGAGGTAGACTATTGAGAACACATTTCTTCAACGCACAGGACAAGACTCTGTGAGGGAACATATGTTTAAAATGAATGCCTTCACTCGGTGAGCTTGCCAGTGAATACTTCACCAAATCTGAATGCATCTGGCTTTATTTTGATTAGCATTTGGGATCATTTTGACGGTGCTGAAAGGAATTTAAAACACTGCTTACCTCAAGTCTTATAAAAGCTGGTTCCTACTTACAGAAAAACTAAATGGAATTCCTTTTTTAATATTTGGTTCCTTACAAGGAGGAAAAGAAAAATGTTGCTACTGTAGCCACAAGTGGCCACAAGCCACTCCATGCCGAAGACTTAAGTAAAATCTTTGGTTAATCAAGCAAATAAATAGCACATTTTTGTTTCTATAGTTCAGCATTTCCCACGGAGCCCTTTTACAGAGATGTGTAACCTGACTACAAAATATGCTCAGAGATTATATTTAGTATCTCTCAGGTACAGAAAAATTCTTTTTTTCTAAAATGTTTAAAAGTATATTTCTTTGGCTAAAGCCAGAAGTAGCAGACTGATTAGAAACTTGACCACTGACTTTAAGGGAAATGAGAGTAAATTCAACCAGAGCAGGTATATTGTCTGCTGACTAGCAGGGCCACTGCTAGAAATGTCCTTGATTGCAACTGCGTTTTCAGCTCCACCAGGTATGGTTTTCTAACGAGCACACCCAATACCTGTTTACATGGAGTTGTTCTTAAGGATTGATCATTCCCCCTTTGGAATTCTAAAGAGATATGTGAAACAAAAAGGTTGAGCAGATTATGCAAGTAGGCCTTGGTCATATTTATACTAAGAGTTTTATACTAGAACCCTATTTTATACTGGCTGATGATCTGTAGTTCCATAGTCATTCAGAAGTTTCTCTTTCTGGTCAGACTCATTCATTTCAGATTCCTTTCATCCTTAGGCAGATGTTGTTTTGGTGACAGAGATGGTCCCAAATCTCTGTGCTAGTCCTGGCATTCGTGTTCCTTCAGTCTTGCCATGTCCTTATGAACTGCCTTTACTCCTTACTATCCTATCTAGAATTCTGCAGGTTAAAGTCTCCAATGTAGTGCTAATTTTGTTCACAAGGAATGTAAGGAACCCAGATTTGTGTTGAATTTATTCATGTAGTTTGAGTCAATTGTTATTTGTGACAACCATTCCATATGATTAACTTTTCCAAGATGGTCACGCACACACACACACATATATATGCAAGGAAAATTGGCTGCCTCCGTAAGAATTCTAAATGTATATCTGCTACTATTGTCATTTACAAGGTGCTAGTGAAATTCTACACATTTTGCAGGCTGGAAACATAGGTATCGCATTTATGATGCTAAATAACGACAAAAAACAATGAAGAGAAGATAACCTTTATACAAAAGCTGCAAAGCACCATAAAAGCACAATATATTTCAGTATGCTATTTAGAAGGATGACTTTAGTATCATTATGTAATCTTCTTCCCACTACAGGGAAATGTTTCCAAGATCCAGGTTTGTGAGCACTTTGCACAGATGCGAGTAGCATTATCTCAGATGTCTGTCCATTATCGGTATCATTAAAAACATTCAGTCTAGCCCTACAAAACCAGACACAAACACCTCTCAGGTTAGCACAGAAAGATTTTTTTCCTTGTTGCCATAGGATATTTACACTTCCAAGGATGTCCCAACTGGAAATAATACTTAAAATTCATCAGCAATATATCTCTGACATCTGTCCTTTCTAACAACACATTCTCATGAATCATCCACTTAAAATCTACTTAATGTGCCAAAGAGATGGCAATAATGGAAA